GTGTACAAGTATCTGAAGGGGGAGTGTCAAGAAGATGAGGCCAGCCTCTTCTCTGTGGTGCCCAGTGACAGGACAAGAGGCAATGGGCAGAAACTGAACCACAGGAAGTTCCATCTGAACCTGAGAAAAAACTTCTTCACTGTGAGGGTGACTGAGCATTGGAACAGGTTGCCCAGAGAGGTGGTGGAGTCTCCTTCCCTGGAGATATTCAAAACCCGTCTGGATGTGATCCTGGGCAATATGCTCTAGGTGACCCTGCTTGAACAGGGAGGTTGGACTAGATGATCTCCAGAGGTCCCATCCAACCTAAACGATTCTGTGATTCTGTGAAGCTCACTTTCTGTTTGACCACTTATCTTCACCAGGCTGAATGCTGACACATCCATCTGTGTTGAAGCCACAGTGCAAAGCAGGGATTTACCTTTGCATTCATTCTTCTTATGTTTCCTCCTTTTATCTTCCTCCCAAGGGCCTTGACCAGTTTAAGCCTTTTTTTTTTTTTTTTTTAAACCAAACAGACTTGGAGTTGATGAACGGGAGAAAAAGTTCTGCCAAAGACTACTGTGAAGTACACACCCACAACCCTGAGCAGGCTCTCTCTTCAGTGTACCTCTCTGAGCAACTCCTGTCACTCACAGCAACATCTTCTGCCACCTTCTTCTGCCATCCATAAAAACCATTATTGACCACATGCCTTAAAAATGTAATGTGGTGGCTTGCAACAGGATGAAGCGGCTCATCCGATTTGCAGACTCCAAAGCCACCAATTTCCTCAGCTGGTGCTGCTGTCCCCGCTTGTACCCTCTCGATCACACATCCTATTGTCAGATGCTTAGCAGTATAAATAAGGTCTTTACCTCAATGTTGCACAGACATTCTTCTAATTTTGTGACTACTTCTGAAAACTCTGGTCTTCCCTGTGAATACAATAGAAAAAGCAGATTTGTATTAAGAACAGAAGGGGTTGGTACCTTTTATGATTAAACTGGCTCATGGATAGATGATGAATCACAACTGCCCAGTTCCCCCTGTTTAAGCTGCACGGCACTGCTTTCTGTCTGCTTGGGAATCTGATGGGAACTGCAAGCTCAGCTCTTCTGAAGTGCAACACTCTTACAGGATCTACCAGCACAGCTCTGATCAGACTTGCACTGAGGGAGAGTCTTTTCTTCCATTCACAGTGTAACCATGTAGCCCTGTAATAAGGTATTGCCACTGCTAGTAGCAGGCAATAAGCTTTGCACCGAGTTTGCAGGGCCTCAGGACTGAGGCTTGTCTGAACTTTTTTTGACCTGCCTGCAGCTCTGGTTTAGCTGTGGTAGCAATGTCTCCAGCTGACCAGGTGCCTATGGCTAATTTATTTCACATTGGTTTACCTTTGTGAGGTACAACCGTAACTGTATATGGAGAGCAGTCACGAGCAGTTGTTCTACGTAGAATGAGAGATTTAAAACCAACGCACGCAGCGTACAGAAATACAGGCCTGGTACGACAGCAGAGGCCTTGAGAAGCGGAGACACAGAATGCAGTGGAGGAGCACAGGCACGGGGTGATGAGAGATGGGCACAGGCTTGGCCTGGGGGACACCATGGTCTGACAAAGAAATGCAGACCTGGAGCGGGACAAAATTGGTTTTGGGGGCAAAGAGAAACACAGAAATAGTATCTAACTTATGTAAAAGGCACCGAATATGGCAAATTTAGATGTAACTTGGAGCTGTAGACCAATGAAGAAAGACAAAGGTCTAAACGCCTATCAGCAAACATATAAAAATGATCCGAAATGGATCCTACAGTGAGAAAGAAAAAAACACCACCATGAACATCATGTTCCTCCCAGTGAAAAACTCCAGATGATGACGACTTGCACTAACCTCCCCCGCTGAAAACACACCAGAAAGAAACCACCAACTTAGGACCCAGAGGAGCAGTGAGGAGGTGAGGATAACCCCAGCAAAAAGGAGAGAATCCAAAAAGTATTTATGTGTAACAATTTTAACTGCATTATTATTCTTCCTTTTTCTATAGGAAGAATAGGAATTAGATCTGGACTAAAACTGGTTAGATCTTAAGATTTCAGTTGTACTAACAATAAATTCTTCTCTTTACTTATATATATAACGTGTGCTTCCTCTTGCCCATAAACAAGATTTTGAACATCACAACTCCCTGATCAACGCTTGCAGCTGCAGCAGCCCTCCTCCTTCCCTTGCCCGGTGCATTTGCACTATCCCCTGGGCACCTCGTCGGCAGCCGCCCCCAGCCTGCTCCCACACACTTGTTTCCGTCCCTGTCTGCTCTATGTGGCGCAAGAGTGTGCGGAGGCCATGCTAAGAGCAGAATCAGGCAACTGAGATAAATGACAAATATGCCTTCTTCTTGTTATTTTTGATCAATGTCCTTTTCCAGTTTACAGCACAGTCTTCCCAAAGAAATTCTGGCTTAACTAAAGCATTATATACAATGGTGTTTAACAGAGAAGGACTGGGAATACCTCAATCCAGTAGCTGGCACACAAGCTCCTCATTCCCCGACTCTGCCCCAAACAAAATCTCCTGGGAAGGTAGGCTTGTGTTTACATATTTTAAGAGCTTTAGCATAAGGTTCTGCAGCCCACACAGAGGGCTATAAGAAACAGCAGAAAGATAATACACACACATAAGACTTCAGGATTTAACTCTTAATAAACAAGTATAACAAACGGATGTTAAATGCTTTCCTTCCTCAAAAGGATAAAGAAAATGACTGTTCCGTTTTAAATTATAAAGTGGCATTTGACCATGAACCTCAGCCTTCCCCTTGCACTGAGAGTACCCCCGAGCTCTTTTCTATACAGTGCTCAAGAAATACTTATTTGTCGCAAGCGATGAGTTCTCTTGCCTTCAACAGAACTTAGGCAAGTGGATCGGACCCAAAGCCCATCAAGGACCTCGGAAGGATTGACTGGTGGCTGTCAGATTAGAGCTGTGCTTACTAAAACTAAAGCAATATTCATGGGCTTTACTGAACCAAACCCCAAGTATTACAGCAAATACATTGAATCTCATTAAAGCTCACAAATTAAAATAGCTAAGGAAAAACAGTGCTTAAAACATATTGTCTAATTTTCTAGTCTTCACTTTGCATTTGGAATCAACGACAGTCAATAGTTTGCAGCAAACAGATGTTCAAGTGCCTGATAAATGGGAACAGTGACATGATACATGGGAACTAGTTATCAGCTGAGATGAGCTTGAATTTCATTCAAGGCAAATAGAAGAATGTATCTTCAAATTTGGAGGCATTTCATAGATCTCCAGCAAAATCCACATACATATACACCATTTTCTTCCCCTCCTTTTTTCTTTTTTAACTAAGCAGACCTCATGGAGAATTCTGACCTGTGAGCACTCTCTGAGCCCTAAAATTCACCATTTTCCCCTAACAAATAGCACCCTCCCCCTTTAAATAAATGTAAAGGCAAATAATATTTTTGATTATGCACCTGAAGTGAAATTCTGTGAAATACATATTGATATGGTGAAATCTCTGCTCCCTTTTATTTTTTAAGGTATTTTGCTCATTTTACTTGCTATGGTGATTCATTTAATAGCATCTTGTCCCTCCTCTTGTGTGGTATGCTCAGAAGATGGTACTCCGTGATGTCAAGGGTTATCATACCAAGTAGGTAACTAAGTGAAATCATTTACAAGAATTGCTTTTTTAACCTCTACAATGAATTTACAGCTGTACTCCAGATTTGTATTGGCTGTTTCAAGATAGGCTGCTGAGCAGTAAACTTCTACAAGCAAACCTTTCAAATGCTGACTAAAGAGAAATAATATTGCTATATTTTTCTTTGCTCAGCATCCCTCCCAAAATTATTTTAAATCCTTCAGAAATAATTGAAAAACTTTGTTACTGACAATGAAGATATTTCATGTAGTCCAACACCTTAAAAAAGCTCATTTTATTAAATTTTTTGCCCACATTTTGTGTGAAGTTCAAGCCATCCACTGGCTGATCAAGCTATCAAGTGCCTCGTAATTCTGCCATGCAGATCTACACCATTGGTAAGATTAAGTGACGCTGGAGTGATACCGATGAGTAACAAAGTACATTAGAATGCTGAAAGAATGGTTTCTTTTTTATTGGGGCTAAATGAGCTGTGGAAATGCTAACAAGATACAGCGACTATATCCATTACATACTGCTTGCTTAAGTCAACAATTTAATATGACACCTTATTAATAAATTTAACAGAATATGTGACTTACTTGCTGATTATTAGTAGCAGCTACTTTACTGTTACACAGAAAAAACCCTGTCCTAACATTAGCCCATAAAATCGAAAGACAAGAGCTTATTCAAGAAGTTAGGAAGCACTAATAATCCTGAAATAAAATATCTATGAAATAAAGTGGCTATGCCCTACATTGCAAACACACTTTACCTACAATTTCTCTTACTGCTACATTATGTGAGCAACTGGTAAGAAACACAGTAAAGGGGCAAAGCTCACTGAAGTCCATACGTTGCCCAAAGGCAAATAAACCTCCCACTGTCTCAATATAACACTAAAGCATGTGCTTTAGTTCACCTAAATCAGACAATGAAGTGCTCAAGCGTCTGGAACAGGAATGGGTTTAGACTCATGTTAACCTGCCTTTCTAAATTAGGCTAACGACAAAAGGGACTCAGGGGAAAAATCCAGGACTTTATTTCGAGTGTGAAATTTAAATCAGAGTACCTGCTTCAGTAACAACTTCCATACATGAAGCAAAGCCTCTTATAACACTAGAAAAATATACAAGTTCCAAAAACCCTACCATTCATCAGAAATTTAATTTCCACATTGTTAAATGAACGCCCTGAATGCCACAATAACACCAGAAAACCACCCAAACAAAAAATGAACCCCTAATCAACCTTGTAATGTGGTTAATAATGCAGTCAATTTACTTTGCCAAACATTTCCAGTCTCTGGAGCATATTTCTTCATTTTTCAGACAGTTTAGAGCCATACGGAAAAATGCATGTGCAGTTGTTGCGGCTGCATATACAAAGACGGCATTATAGTGCGCATAGGGTTATTTGCCTGCCTGAGACACAGAAGCCTATAAAGGACCTACCCATCTCCACAGTACTCGTGAGAAATGCTTGATAGAGATGATACTCACTTGACTGCTTATGATTATCCTCCATCAAGGGAACTGTGAAAGCCCAGAAGTTATGAACAAAACCTGTCACTCTTATGCTCTACAAATGCCCAGGACAATACTTTCTCACTATCAGTAAGATAACACTGACTGGTCTGTGCCCACACAGGGTGCCCACACACTCTAATACTTACATCTGCATTTGCATGTGCAAATACACTGTAGGTCTGTGGACAATCCATCCGGTCAGGAAATACAGGTGGGATGTGGAGTCAGAACAGTGCTAGTATCAACGTGCTTTGGAAGATTTGACCCTTCATATAAAAACAGAGCTATGAAGACCATTTAGGAGAGAGTCACTGTTGTCCCTCTACCGTGTACTGAGGTGGCCTCAAGCATCATGAGATCCTGCTGAGGCCCTAAAGACTACCAGTTTGAGGATGATGGTGTGTTTGCATTCTCGCTTTGGTTAGTTCATGTTCTCTTTAGTGCAGAAACAGCCAACAGATTGCAAAAGCCAAAATAAAATAATCTTTCTTTAACCATTATTTTATCATATTAGAAGGGAACTTTTATGTATTTATTTTTCTTTAATGCTATTACTATTTAGTTGAGTAGACTCCTCCAATCATTATAAAACAGTCATAATTGCAGTATGTGAGAAAGGTGCTGTAGCAATGACATTACTGCAGTAACTCATTGTTATATCAGACTTTGATCCTGCAGAAATTGCTGGAGTTGACTCCTAAGGATAGTAATGATGTCAACTGCCATGAACAT